ATAAGCGCATGGAAACATTTGCTTCCCTCTGTGAAGGGCTTATCTTTTACTTTTATGCAAGAGTCAAGTTTTTCTCTCTATTCCTTTTATTTTTCTCCTTTGGCAAGCATAATGTGGTGAGGAAAGATCTAGGCACATATGTCCAGTTGAATATGGCTGACATGAGTTATTATTCTTAACATCACCCTTGAGGTGAGTACATTGGGAGGCGAAACTATAAGCCCCTATATTTCTATGTGTCCGGTTGAAACATTTTGCTCATGTGTACGCGGTGAGTGTTAGCAATCGTAGAAGACTATATGATGGTTGAGTATGTGGACTTGCCTAAAGTCCCCGACACATGACCCGTCCTGAAAAGATGATGAATTGTAGTTGCAAAGTTGACTGAGAATATAGTTTGTTGGTTTCTAATAGAGTTTTTGCTTTATACTTTGATTGTGTGATGAACTAGTACTTATTCATGAGAAGTATATGATAAAAGTCCCATCTTTAATTTTTTTTGCTGTTATAATAATCAACATGATGCTTCTATGTCCGTATTTTGTTTTTATCGACACCTCTCTCTCAAAGCATGTGGACATGTTTTTCGATTTCGGTTTTCGCTTGAGGACAAGCGAGGTCTAAGCTTGGGGGAGTTGATACGTTCATTTTGCATCATGTTTTCTTACTGTTATTTATGGTGTTTTTATCCATAATAATGCTTTTTGGAGTAATTCTAATGTCTTTTCTCTCAATTTGCAAGGTACACACCAAGAGGGAGAATTCTGGCAGCTGGAAATTTGGACCTGGAAAAGCTACGTCAGGCCACCTATTCTGCACAACTCCAAACAAGCTGGAACTTCACGGAGATTTTTTATGGATTATTTAAGAATTATTGGAGCAAATAACTACCAGAGAGGGCCCACCAGGTGGGCACACCCCACCTGGGCACGCCAGGGAGCCCAGGCGCGCCCTGGTGGGTTGTGCTCTCCTCGGCCCACCTCCGGTGCCCATCTTTGGTATATAAGTCATTTTGACCTAGAAAAAAATAAGGGGAGGAATTTTGGGATGGAGCGCCGCCGTCTCGAGGCGGAACTTGGGCAGGAGCACTTTTGCCCTTCGACGGAGCGATTCCTCGGGGGGAACTTCCCTCTTGGAGGGGGAAATCATCGTCATCATCATCACCAACAACTCTCCCATCTTGGGGAGAGCAATCTCCATCAACATATTCAACAGCACCATCTCCTCTCAAATCCTAGTTCATCTCTTGTGTTCAATCTTGTTACCAGAACTATAGATTGGTGCTTATGGGTGACTAGTAGTGTTGATTACATCTTGTAGTTGATTACTATATGGTTTATTTGGTGGAAGATTTTATGTTCAGATCCATTATGCTAATTAATACTCCTCTGATCATGAGCATGTTTATCATTTGTGAGTAGTTACCTTTGTTCTTGAGGTCACGGGAGAAATTATGTTGCAAGTAATCATGTGAATTTGATATGTGTTCGATATTTTGATAGTATGTATGTTGTGATTCCCTTAGTGGTGTCATGTGAACGTCGACTACATGACACTTCACCATATTTGTGCCTAAGGGAATGCATTGTGGAGTAGCAATTAGATGATGGGTTGCGAGAGTGACAGAAGCTTAAACCCCAGTTTATGCGTTATCCCATAAGGGACCGATTGGATCCAAAAGTTTAATGTTATGGTTAGAATTTATTCTTAATACTTTTCTCGTAGTTGCGGATGCTTGCAGGGGGGGTAATCATAAGTAGGAGGTTTGTTCAAGTAAGAACAACACCTAAGCACCGGTCCACCCACATATCAAATTATCAAAGTATCGAACACGAATTAAACCAACATGATGAAAGTGACAAGATGAAATTCCCGTGTATCCACAAGAACGCTTTGCTTATCATAAGAGACCATTTTGGCATGCCCTTGTCCTCGACAGGATTGGGCTACCTTGCTACACTTTTGTTACTACTATCGTTACTTGCTCGTTACAAACTATCTTGCTATCAAACTACTTTGCTACCTACAATTTCAGCACTTGCAGACATCACCTTGCTGAAAACCACTTGAAATTTCCTTCTGCTCCTCATTGGGTTCGACACTCTTACTTATCAAAAAGAGCTACAATTGATCCCCTATACTTGTGGGTCATCATAAACTCAAGCAATATTAATAAACCCCATCATTTTATCCTTAATGGAAACAATACAAATATGTGTCTTGTCCCTTTTTGTCACTAGGATATAGATCACCACAAGATTGATCCCATTACAAAGCACCTCTCGCATTGCAAGATAAATCAATCTAGTTGGCCAAACCAAACGAATAGATCGGAGAGAAATACAAAGTTATAATAGTCATGAATAAAAGAGTTCAGAGAAGACTCAAATAATATTCATAGAAAATCTAATCATAAACCCACAATTCATCAGATCCCAACAAATACACCGCAAAATAAGATTACATTGAATAGATCTCCAAGGACATCGAGGAGAACATTGTATTGAAGATCAAAGAGAGAGAAGAAGCCATCTAGCTACTAGCTATAGACCCGTAGGTCTGTGGTAAAACTACTCACATATCATCGGAAGGGTGGCAAGGTTAATGTAGAGGCCCTCCGTGACCGATTTCCCCTCCACAAAGTACCAAAAAAGGTCTCCAGATGGGATCTCCGAAGAACAAAAACTTGTGGCGACGGAAAAGTATTTTGGGTGCATCTCTGTTGGTTTCCTGATTTTAGAGAACTTATAGTGGTGGAATTACGTCAGACGGAGCCACGACGGGTCTATAGCCCAGGAGCCCAGGCGCGCCAAAGTGCCTTGCCCGTCTGGTCTCCTCTCGAAGCTTCTAGGGTCTCTTTTGTCTAGAAAAAAATCATCATAAAGTTTCATGGCATTTGGACTTCATTTGTTACTAATTTCCTGGAAAACCAAAAGTAGGCAAAAAACAGGAACTAGCACTTGGCACTAAGTTAATAGGTTAGTCCCCAAAAAGATATATAATTGCATATAAAACATCTAAGATTGATACTATAATAGCATGGAATAATCAAAAAAATTAGATACATTGGAGACGTATCAAGCATCTCCAAGCTTAATTCCTTCTCGTCCCCGAGTAGGTAAATGATAAAAATAGAATTTTTGATGTGGAATGCTACCTAACATGTTCATCATGTAATCTCTCTTTTATGGCACGAATATTTAGATCCGAATGATTTAAAACAATAGTCTATAATTTGACATAAAAACATCAATACTCAGGCATACCAACAAACAATCATGCCTTTCAAAATATTAATGCTAAAAACGCTATCCCTACAAAATCATATAGCCTTGTCATGCTCCATCTTCTTAACACAAAGTATAAATCATGCACTACCCCGGTGTCAGCCAAACAATTGGTTCATACTTTTTAATGCACTTCAGCTTTTTCAACCCCCACACAATACATGAGCACAAGTCATGGATATAGCCCTATGGGTGGAATAGAGTATGGTAGTAGAGATGATATGGAGAAGACAAAAAAGGAGAAAGTCTCACATCAACACGGCTAATCAACGGGCTATGGAGATGCCCATCAATTGACGTCAATGCAAGGAGTAGGGATTGCCATGCAACCGATGCACTAAGAGTTATAAGTGTATGAAAGCTCAAAAAGAAAACTAAGTGGGTGTGCATCCAACTTGTTTGCTATAGAATACCTCGGGCATTTGAGGAAGCCCATCATTAAAATATACAAACCAAGTTCTATAATAAAAAATTCCCACTAGTTATATGAAAGTGACTACATAGGAGACTCTATATGAAAAATATCGTGCTACTTCAAAGTACAAGTGTGGAAAAAGATAGTAACGTTGCCTTTCAAAATATCTCTCTTTTTCTCTCTTTTTTTGGCGGGCTCTTTTTGGCCTCTTTTTTGGCTCTTTTTGGCTCTTTTATTAATATTATTATTATTATTAATATTATTATTATTATTGTTGTTGTTATTATTATTATTTCCTTACTTGGGACAATGCTCAAATAACGCATAATGATGATCATCACATTTCTATTTACTTAAAACTTGATACTCGAACAAAATATGACTTTATATGAATGCCTCTGGCGGTGTACTAGGATGTGCAATGATCTAGCGTAACATGTATAAAAAGTGATGTACGATGGCTGAGCCACAAATACTATTTTAGCTATATGATCATGCAAAGCAATATGATAATGATGACGTGTGTCATAATAATGGAACGATGGAAGATGCATGGCAATATATCTCGAAATGGCTATGACAATGCCATAATAGGTAGGTATGGTTGCTATTTTGAGGAAGATATAAGGAAATTTATGTGTGAAAGAGCGTATCATACACTGGTGCAGAGACGTGCTATACAAACGGCTTTAACCTCCTTTCCGCGACAGAGTTTTAAACCGTCGCCTTGCTAGTGTGGGCGATAGAGGGTCCTTCTCACATGACTCAGAAACCGTCGGGGATAGGTCCTCCGGTCACACACGCTGGGCAAAATGAGCTCGTGTGCGATCGGCCGAGGCATCGCAGACAATTATGCAGGCCCAATCGCTTCCGTTCATATGTACATCCCACAAAGTGAATCCCAGAAAAACGTTTTCGTTCATATGTATATGTGCAAACGTTTGTGCAAGGTGGCCTAACACAAACAGTTCTCCGGCTGAAGTCGTGTGTGATTCTTCATTGATCCAACACGCATACTTTTTAGAAGTCATGTGGGTTGTTTGAGTTCATCGTCCACAATGTTGTTTGTGAAACCGTCTGCAATAGAAAACACTAATAAGCAGACTAATTGGCCTATTACTGATAATCCATTTAGTGATCAAATTGATATTTTTTATAAAACACGTCATATATTTTATGTCTGTATTACGGCAACTAGGATTTCATTATTGAATTACATCTGATAGGTTCAGCACTTAGTTATACCACATACATTTATCAAAGAAAATCAAAGCACACACCACCAAATGTGAAAGGAATTAGATGAGTCCAAGCCTAATTTGTGCGCCATGCATTGAATGTAGTGTTACCACGGTATATGGCGCATGAGTATAGGACGGGGCTAGCACGAAGTCGAAACGTTGAAGGATCATGCAAATCGCCATCTTGGCCTCAGTAAGCGCAAAATTCTGGCCGATGCATATCCGTGGTCCCCAGCCGAATGGGAGAAACGCGCCTGAATTCTTGGACGCTTTGGAGATCCCCTCAGCAAACCTCTCCGGCTTGAATTCATGTACATCGCTTTCCCAAATGTCAGGGTCATGGTGCATGAGTAGTACGGAGAGCTCAATCATCATGCCAGCTGGGTATCTTTTGTCTCCCATTAGCACCTCCTTGCATGTCTTCCGGCTAAAATGAATGCTTGGAGGATACAACCGAAGAACCTCATAAAGGATCATGGTCACCTGCATGCAAATTACAAACATATAAGGAAAGGGTGGTATGTAGCTCCGATAGAAAAGTTGGTGTCATCATATAGAGGATCAAAAAAATGAAGTACTTCTGGCAATTAAATATTTACCATTTTAAGTCGGCTTAGACCTTCGTATTCAGGTCTGTTTTTCCCAAATAAACCTAGGACCTCCTCCCTTGCACGGTCTTACCACTTCGGATGCATGCTTAGAACGATCATGGTCCACGTGAGTAGTACCGATGTTGTCTCTATTCCTGCAAAGTAAAACGTCTTGCACTCCTCGATGACATCTTCAATTGGCATCCCCATGCTGGATTGACCATTGTCATCTGTGTGCCTCATGTTTGACTCTAGCAATAAGCCAAGTAAGTCGTTTTTGGTGCTTTCTCCTTCCTTTATCGCTTTAGTTTTTTTCGCATTAAACCGCGTAGAATCGATTCAACCTCGTTATTAACCTGATGCATCCTTTTATTGTTTGGGGTTGGCAAAGATCTGAAATATACCATGCACTTCCCGTTACAAAGAATGTTCCTTTTTAAGTTATTACAAGTGTACTTGTTACAAAGAATGTTCCTTGTTAAGTTATTACAAGTGTACTTGTTACAAAGAATGTTCCTTGTTAGGTTATTACAAGTGTAACTGTAATTTCAGTTCCCCGCATAAGAGCATCTCCAACAGCCGCACCAAAAGACGCGCGCGCGGTAAATTGGCTTTATAGCGCGCGCGGAACGTTTACGCGCGCTTCAGCGGTGGCGCGAAACTAGCACGCGCGGGAAACGATTGCGCGCGCGTGGGAAAAGGCGGCCGCTCGCGCGCTACATTTGGCGCGCCGCGTCCGGCGCGCCTATAAATTGCAGCGCCCCCGCCGCTCTCTCCATCGCCCTTTGCCGCTCTCTCCGTCTCTCCATCGCCCCCTGCCGCGCTCTGCCGCCGACACGCCACCACCGCGCCACGATGCCGCCTCGGCGCCGGGGAGGTACGGGCTACCGCGGCGTCCGCGTGCGTCCGTCCGGCACCTACTCCGTCGAGATTCGGTCGGGCAGCGGCATGCGGCTCCGTCTCGGCACTTTCGACACCGCCCAGGAGGGCGCCCGCGCGTACGACGCTGCGGCGTGGCGCCTCCTGCGGTCCCGCCAGGACATGAACTTCGCCGACGTGGCGACGCGGGAGCGCGCACAGGAGTTGGCGCCTTTCCCGCGGCTTCTCACTGACGAGGATCATCGCAAGCATCGGAGGCGGGAGCATCGTCTCAGGCTGGCCGAGATGGACGAGCAAGCCATGGCGCTGTGGAGTCATCGCTTCCCGGAAGACACCAACGAGAAACAGTTCTTCGCCCAGATGAGGGCGAGGAGGGCGAAGAGGAGAGAGGAGCGAGCCGACTATCGCGAGGACCAAGTGCTAGGAGATGCGTCCTCCTGGAACTCCGACGACGAGCGATTCCTTGACGCCTACGCTCCGAGGAGGACATCACTAAAACAGAGTCCAAGTCGGACGAGTAGTAGTAGGAAAACTATCTACGAAACCAAATATGTAGTAGGAGAACTATCTACGAAATCAAATATGTAGTAGAAAAAACTGAAATATAGCGCGTCTGCTGGAGCGGTGTGGGCGCGCTTTAATTTGCGGCGGTCGCTGGAGCCAGCGCACCGCTGCATGCAAAAGCTGGCTAATCCGGCGCTGTATCGCGACTTTTAGCGCGCGGAGCGTTGCGCGGCTTGGAGATGCTCTAAAGAAAAAGGAAAACTGTAAATTCAGTTGGTAGCAACTCACAAGTAGCCGGGAATGAGAATCCTCCGAATGTTTGTGATGAGGCGCTCTGCTTGCTCGGTTTGCAGCTGAAATATCTTCATTCCTTCAAGGTAGCTGCTGCCGAATGCGGTGCGGGAAATGACATCTCCGGCAAGGTTTTTGAGCTCCGGCCAAATATCCATCTCGTGCGTACCTCCACTGGAGCCGACGGACTCCGTCCATCTGCCCACCAACTCTTCACAGCACGCCGAAAACTCTGGCAGCATGCACTGCAGAGTCGTATTCCATTCCACATGTCAATTGTATAGCAGTAAATGGTTCTCGGAGAATATGCACTGAAACTGAAACTGAAACTGGTACCTTGATCTTCTCCAGATGGAAGGCAGGGTTGAGGAGCCGCCGGTGCTTGACCCACTTCTCGCCCTCGTGGTTCAAGAGGCCATTGGCGAGCAGCTTCCACATCGCCGGGAACTTGGGCTTCTCGAAGTGCCCGGACTTGTCGGACAGCACGCTCTTGGCAAGCTCGGGGTCGGCGATGGTTACCTTGGGGATCGGGCCGAACCACGAGAGGCTCACCTTGCCGTGCTCCCGGGCGGAATCGCAGAGGAGTGGTGCCACGCGAGGGGCGATGTCGTGGCACCGCAGCGGCAGCCGCCTCGACCAGGCGTCCTTGTTCCGCCGGCCTTGCTCCCTGAGGTCGCCGGTGAGGAAGCGGTAGGACGTGCCGCGGAGGCCCTTGGACCGGAGCTCCCGCTCGAGGCACCGCGGCCGCCACCACAGCCGGTGCAGCAACCGGCAGAGCTGCCACAGGAGCACAAGGGTCGGGAGCAGGAGGAGGCTCCGCCTCCATGGCACCGAGGCTGCAGTTGCGAAGAACGCTCCAAGAACCATAGCTCTCAAGTCTCGACTCGGGCGAAGAAACCCAGCAATGGAAGCTGGTGTGATGCTGCACGGTGTAGGCATGGGGTTATATAGATGGATGGAGCTGCACATGTGCATTTGACTAGCAGTAAGAGAATAATGCTATGGCCTTCACTATCAGTACGACAATAAGTCTCATCTGGACTTTGACTTGGAGCTATGGCGAAAAGACACACAGACTATTCTACCCATGTCACTGGATCTCTGTCCCCATCACCGTGCTCAGTGGCGGAGGCACCGCCCAGCGACCCTGGGCACTTGCCCGGGCTCGCTGGCTCCCCAACAGCAGCGCTCGATCAATTAACAAAGGCCTAAACTTGTTCGCTAGCTTGCTTTACCTGGGCAAAAAAAATTGGGCCTTATTTTCTCAATAGTTCACAGCCTAACAGGCAACCGTACGACAGTCTGCAGCCCAGCCAACTTCACGACGTGAGGGAATACACACACGTACGTACGGTGGTTGGATCGATCGCTCCAAGCCTGAAACTCCTGCCTCTCCGTTTCTCAACAGCCGCCGAGCGCAGGGATTGGTCGACCGGGGCGGCGGCTGGCCTAGAGCCCTACTGGCCAAGACGGCGAGACGGGGCTACGCAGGACCGCCGGCAAGCGGATATCCGGCGTCCAGACAAGCCTACTCCTTCCTCTCCTTATGATCGCATCTTTAAATCTGAAAAGTAATTTGGCAATCTGCAATGAACGAATAGATTTAGCCATTTAGGGCTTAAATTCAGGTAATGTTTCAATGACGGCTTTAAGGAATTTCTGTAGTTGACGTGTAAGTAGTTCTGTACTATTGTTACTTTTTTTCTGAAAGATTGTACTATTGTTTCTTATTGTAGCTCATTTTCTTATTTACTTATGTGACAACTAACTTTAAATTTTATCATTAAATTTCAGAGATGAGGAGGTTTTTGTTAGTACAGAAAGCACTGAAAATGTGAATGATGTCTAACCGGAAATAGAAGTTGAGCTGTTGAGGCACAACCGGAAATGTGAATGGTGTCCATCTGACCATCCATCTCTATTCTTGCAAGTTTTCAAAATTTAATATATTCACATCTCACAACTTAACTACAAATCCATTTCTATCTTGTAGTGCCTTCTAAGCTTTGGCAACACGGCCAGTTTGCCCATACGCAAGGCTGATTGTATTTCTTTCTTTTGGCAAAAATGAACAAATGAGATATACTTTTGACCGTGGTGAAAGAAATTGCAAGATCACGACATCTAGTCTGGTACGGAAAGCTTTACTTTTGTTGGCAACATTGTGAGTTTACCTCTATGCAAGGCTAGTTATTTATCTTTTATTGTCAAGTCTCAACTTTATTTGGTCTATGAAATGGATATTGATATATTAGTTCATTTTAAATTACACTAGTTGGATGCCCGTGCGTTACTATAGAGTCAACAAAATGATGTATAAAACCAAAACAACAAGCACCATTTAGCCAGTTTTTCAGCTTGCTCTCTTTCCCAACATCATAGATCACACACGTCAAATCGTAAAGAATTCAAGGTGTCATCCCTCACCCGGACTGGGATCAGGTGACATGCGGCCCAAATTCAAATTTAAACATTGCGAAAAAATCTAAAAAAATCATGCATGTTCACAGCACATATTAAGATAACCCCTGAAAATTTTAGATCAAAATTTGAAACATGCATCAAGAAATAAAAAAGAAACTCAGATGTGAATAGTTAATCTCTCATGAATAGTTCTTGAATGGTTCTTTGTAGACTATTCACATCTGAGTTTTTCTTTTTTTATTTCTCGATGTATGTTTCGAATTTTGATCTGAAATTTTTAGGGGTTATCTTAATATGTGCTGTGAACATGCTTGATTTTTTTTCAGATTTTTTCGCAATTTTTAAATTTGAATTTGGACCGCATGTCACCTGATCCCAGTCCCCTCACCCATACAAACTCAATAATCTATGATCCTCGCCTCTATCATCAATGTTCTTGTAGGTCCTTTGGGACCCTCCATCTGTTAGAAGAAAAAAAGATATCCCCTCAGCCAAGGTAGTAGATTAATCACAGAATCTTAAAATGGGTGATGAAGGGGAGATGATGCAATGTCAATAGTTTTCTCACATTCTTCGAAATTCTTAGTGCGCACAAAGCCAAATCATTCCTACCTAATACGTTTTTTCACCTATTAGCAGCTATCATCATTAAACATGTGGTTGGACAATTGAAAGTATGAGAGCCTCAAGATATCACGTTTGTTTTACGCTATTCAAAATGGGCCATAATCCATGGTAATTGATAAAATTTCCCTAATCATTGAAGGGAGGAAAAGACAGAACCACGCTCACTTAAATCCCCCAAAGGTTTGCCTCGCGATGTGCCTGTCTAGACGCACCAAAATGTGTCCTGTGCTAGTCTTCTCCTTCAATCTTTGCAGCCATCAGATCAGCTTCCCCCATATACCTGTCCT